AAGAGATTAATCAAAGAACTTATATGTATATATGCATAACCCATGGACACAGATAATAGTGTGGTGAAGACCTGGGGGGCAGCAGGTGTAGAGTGTAGGGTGTAGGTGTAGGCAGTGATGGCGAACCTTTTGAGCTCGGCGTGTCAGCATTTTGAAAAACCCTAACTTAACTCTGGTGCCGTGTCACATATAGAATTTTTTGATAAGGTTCACCATCACTTGTGTAGGGGGTCAATGGGGAAAATGAGACATCTGTAATACTTCCAACAATAAAGATAAAACAACAACAATAAACACACACACACACACACACACACACACACACACACACACAATGGATGTTGGGAAAAGGGAACGGTACACAGGCTTTCACTGGCTCTACTCTGCTCATGGGCTCATGGAGCAGCATTCACTCACTGTTTTACTTTTTCAGGCAAAGGAACCTGGCGGTGATACCTTCTGACTCTGGAACTCTGAAAGGGTCTTTGTTTTATGGAAATTGGTTTAATTTCATGGTTATCTCAAATTCCAACCACCTGTTGTTTGGGCCCAAACCTTGGAGTCATCCATTTTTCTCTCAACTTTCATATTTTGTTGGATCTTATATGCCTAGAACCCACTCCATTGCTACCACGTAGGTTGAGGCCACCATCTCCTGTCACCTGAACTATTGCCAAAGTCCCTCTCTGTTCTCTCTGCTTCCACTCTTAGCAGCCACCCTCCCCCTCCCCACACCAACAGTCTATTCTCAACACAGCAGCCAGAGGGTTGCTTTTTAAAAAATGTTGAGTTACTTTTTCAAGTCACTCCTTTCTGCAAAACCTGTCAGTGGCTCCTCATTTCTCTCCAAGTAAAACCCAAAATTCTCCCTAGGAGCCTCCCCAGGCCTTCCGTGACCTGGTTCTGCTGTGTCTCTGTGTCACCTGCTGCCGCTGTGCCCACACTCACTCTGCTCCAGTCTCAGTGGCCTCCAAACTGTTCCTCAAATGGGCCAGGCCATGCCCACCATAGGCCTTGGTGTGGGCTGGCCTTCAGCCTGGAATGCTCTTCCTGAGATGCTCATGTGGCTCGTTCTCTCACTCCTCCAAACCTCCCCTCGAATGAACTTCTCCATAGGGTGCACCTTGGTCACTCTATCACAGCTGCATCCTGTGCTTCAAACTAGCCTTCCAATCTTCATCACCCTCTCATTTTTCTTTTCCCATCCATGTACCTTCTAACATGCAATTAAGGACACTATAGAGTGTGTGCTGTTTATTGTCTCCCCTTCTTTAGAACAGAAGTTGCATGAATATTTCACAGATCTACATCAAATATTCCAAAAATTTGTATAAAACCAAAAGAGACCCAGGATAGCTGCAGAAATACTGAGAAAGAAGAATAAAGTTGGAGGAATCACAATACCAGATATCAAACTATACTACAAAACTATTGTAATCAAAACAGCCTGGTACTGGCCCAAGAACAGGCCTATAGGCCTATGGAACAGAACAGAGAGCTCAGAAATTGACCCATGCCAATATGGCCAATTACTATTTGACAAAGGTGGTAAAAGCATACAATGGAGTAAAGATCGTCTCTTCAATAAATAGTGTTGGGGAAATTGAACAGGTATATGCAAAAAAAAAAAAAAATGAAACTAGTCCAGCAATTTACATGCTACACAAAAATAAACTCAAAATGGATAAAAGACTTAAATGTAAGTCATGAAACCATAAAAATCCTACAAGGCAATAAAATCTCAGACATCTCTCATAGCAGTATTTTCACCAATACATTACCTAGGGCAAGGGAAACAAAGGGGAAAATTAACAAATGGGACTACATCAAACTAAAAAGCTTCTGCACAGCAAAAGAATCCATCAACAAAATGAAAAGGGAGCCTACTGTATGGGAAAACATATTTGCCAATGATGCATCTGGTAAGAGTTTAATTTCCAAAATATACAAAGAATTCATACACCTCAACATTAGGAAGGCAAACAATCCAATTAAAAAATGGGCAAAGGACCTGAATAGACACTTTTTCAAAGAGGACATACAGATGGCCAATAGATACATGAAAAAGGCTCAAAATCACCAATCATCAGAGAGATGCAAATTACAATGACAATTAGGTATCATCTCACACCTGCCAGAATGGCTACCATCAATAAATCAAACAAGTACTGGAGAGGATGTGTAGAAAAGGGAACCCTAGTACACTGTTGGTGGGTATAGTCACTGTGGAAAATAGCATGGAATTGCGTCAAAAAATTAAAAATGTAACTGCCATTTGACCCAGTGATCCCACTTCTGGGACTATATCCTAAGAATCCCAAAGTACCAACCAGAAAGAATATATGCACCCCTATGTTTATAGCAGCATTATTTACAATAGCCATGATCTTGAAACAACCCAAGTGCCCATCAGTAGAAGAGTGGATAAAAAAAAGCTGTGGTCCATTTACACAACGGAATACTACGTGGCTGTAAAAGAGAAGGATCTCTTACCCTTTGAGACAGCATGGAGGGACCTGGAGAGTATTATGCTAAGCAAAGTAAGGCAGTTAGAGAAAGACAAATATCACATGATCTCACTTATAAGTAGAATCTAAAGAACAAAATAAACTGGTGAACAAAATAGGGCCAGAAGTATGGAAGTAGGAAACAGAATAACAGTCTCAGTGTGTGTGTGTGGGGGGGGGAGGGGGGGAGGGGGGTTGGAGGAGAGTACAGGAAGAGATTAACCAAAGAACATACATGCATAACCTATGGACACAGAATAGCATGGGGAAGGCCTGGGGTGGGGCAGGGGTTGGGTGAGGGGGGCAAAAAGGGAGAAAATGGGAGACATCGGTAATACTGTCAACAATAAAATTTAAAAAATTCCATTAAAAGAAAATGAACAGAAGTTGCACGAGAGATGGGAGTTTTCTGCTTTCTTCCTATGTCTCGCTCACTGATGCATTCCAGCACCCAGAACAGCGTCGGGCAAACAACAGATACTTGGCCAACAAGGTCGAATGAACAAGCGGAATCTGTCCGGAATGTCTCTCACATGCACACCCAAGTCACACTCCATTCCCTTCTGTAACCTGCGCCTCTCTTGGCCTCCCCAACCTTCCTGCTCCCTCCCCAGCTCCTCCCCTGCCTTCCCCACTGGGGCCAGTCACATCCCCAGACACCTGATGACCCATACTGGAACCCTGTCCATGACTTCTTCTCATTCACTTCCACATCCACCTGGTCCCCAAACCTGGGCACTTCAGCTTTGGCAGTGTTTCCACATCCAACCTCTGTTCTCCCACCTCCTGGTCACCTGCTCAGCCAGATAATCCCTTTAATTCTGCACATTGGCAACACCCTCTGCCCCAATCTCCCAGTTTCCAGATTTTTCCTTGTTTTTTTCTCTTCACTGGTTCCCAGACTCAGCTTTCTAACAGGAACTCTGTCACACCACTGCACAATCTCTCAACATCTCTCCTCCCTGTACAGTATTTTCAATCCTGTGTTCCTAGGAACCCCAGGGGTTCCACAAAGGTACCCAGATTAGGTGACTCTCTGAGAGGCATCTGGAGGAGCTAAAAGACCAGGTGGGTGAAGCTCTAGGCCCCCTGCCCCCACTTCAATGCTAGCAGGTCTCAATCATACCTCCTTCAGATATTGGGCTTGCATGGAAACTTCTAATTTGAAGAAAGGATTCTGTTGCATACAAAATAAAAGTATTTAAAACAACCACCACTTACCTTGCTGCAGGCCAAGGCCCAAGCTCCTTACTGGGTGGGCAGCCCTCTGCAAGCTGGGCCCTGGTGCTTTCTAGCGTCACCACCTTCTCCTGCTGACACACCCTGGGGCCCAGCCACACTGCACAAGGAGCTGTGAGGTGCTCTGTGGACAAGCCTGCCCACATTCACCCCACCCTGCCTTGGCCCCAGCTGTTCCTTCTGCCTGGAATGTCCTTTCCCAGTGACTTCATCCCCCACACGCCGCATCTCTGCTGCCTTCAAGGCCACAGTCACCTTCCTTTTGAAGCCTTCCCTCACCCTGTGGGCAGAATTAATTGCTCCCCGTTCCCCGCGCACACAGCACTCGCCGCTGACCTCTATTATAGCGCTGCCCCGTGTGGTGGGACAATTTGCTCATCTGTCTCTGTAGCCAGACTGTGAGGCTGAGACCACAGCTCGGACCAGCTTTATTTCATTCCCACACAGGCCCGCGCTCCCACGCAGGTGCACTGCGTTACTGCGAGTTTCCTTCAGGAAGTGAAAGGACTGCTTTTGAAAACCCCAGAGGAGGTGGCCAGTCTCCCCTCCTCTACCCAGGAGTGGCTGCCCTGCCATGGGATGTGGGTTCTGGAAGCTGTCTCGTGAGCACAGAGAGGTGCTGTAGGCACATGATGCTTGGAGCCCTCAGACTCAGAGGGGCAAGGCATGAAGCCTGCTGGACATGAGGGCCACCTGTGACAAAGCCTGGGCTCGGTTTGGTGGTCAGTGGGCAAAGGGTCCAAGGTGCAAGCCCCAGGCTGTCCCGCAGGCTGCGTTGTGGAGGGGGCAGGGTGGGGTTGTGGCCAGGATATTCTGCAGGGCTGGAGACCCTCAGAGCTGGGGGCGGGGGGCGCGGCAGTCTCCTTCTGCAGGGCTGGAGACCCTCAGAGCTGGGGGCGGGGAGTGGGGGTGCGCAGCAGTCTCTTCTGTGAGCTCTGCATGACTCAGAACAAGGCCCTAACTAGTGCCTGGGGAATGGAGCACAGTCAGGCTGGGCGGTGCGGGGCCAGACAAAGCCCGCACAAGTGGGAGTCAATGCTGGGATATGGAGGGTCCTGTGGTGCAGGGCCTGCCAGGAGGTGCCCTGCAGAAGAGGAGTGGGCTTGCTTGGTGCTCACAGCCCCCGTGCCCATCAGACAGCAGCTTGGTGGGGCAGAGGCCCCTCTGCTGGATCTCAGGACTCTCCCTCCAACTCTAGGGCACGGCTGCCCTGACGCACCTGAGCACCTAGGGCAGTGCCGGGCCTCCTCCTACCTGGGCGGTGTCCATCTCATTCAGCATCACCACGGAGGAGCAGTTATAGTCGAACACCAGCCTCCAGAAGTCCGCCACGGTGTTGGGTAGAGGGTGCTGCGTGACCACGAAGGCCGCGGGCTGCTTGTGGCTCTGAAAAGGAACGACACAGGCTTCATAAATTACGTCCATCAGCGATGTTCTAATGCTGATGAGGCCCAGATGGTGCCAGAGGCCCCGAGCCTGCAAATAGGTTACACAAGGCACCTGGCCATTCTGTGATCTCTGGGTGCCCTGGCAGCAAAGGGGCGTCTCATAATGAACTCATTCTCCAAAATAGGACATTTCATTAGGAAAGTGTCACTCGGGTGGGGATTATCCAAATAAATTATTTGTGTCTTGGAGCTCAGCAAATAATCATCATTTTACTCCGAAATGAAAGGTTCTGGATGCAGATTTGCTTCTCTGCTGGCCAAGGTTCCTCTTGGGATAAGTGGGATATCTGTGTCCCTTGCCCACAGTCCTGTAGGAGGAGTTGGCTCAGCCCATGGCAGAGAGCATCCTGAAGGGGCTTCTATTGCAGGAGGCTCATCCTGCCAAAGGCTGGAAGGAGGGCTGAGCTGGGCCGTTGGAAGATGGGCACTAGAGTGTCCAGTGGAGCAGGGAAAGGTTCCCATGTTTTAAAATCAGGCAGACCTGATTTCAAACCCAGCTTTGCCGCTTGTACATTATGTCATCCATCCATCTATCCATTCATCCATGCATTCACCCATCATTCACTAATCCATGCATTCATTCATCTATGTATTCACCCATCTATGCATCCATCCAGCCATGCATTCATCCATGCATTCACGCATCCATGCATCCATGCATCCATGCATTCATCCATGCATCCACTCATCCATGCATCCATCCATGCATTCAATTATCCATGCATTCATTCATTCAGGCATCATTTGCAAAGTGACATTTTTTGATGCTAAGCACTGGCAAGTTATTAGAGCTCTCCAAATCTTGGGTTCTTCATCTAGAAAATGGGAATCATAACTCCAAATGGATGATGTCCTACATATTGAGTGAGATTTGCCTGTGAAAGACCAGCAAACAAGAACCAAGCTGTGAGCCCGCTGTCAGGGCAGACACACTCCTGACTTGGTTCTTCAACCTTGGCACGGGCATTGTGGGATATTGTGTTGGCACACTGAAACCCAATACCAGTCTAGCAAACAAATTCAGCCCCATACTCAGATGGGGAAACTGAGGCCCAGAGGACATGGCCTAGGTGAGTCTGGACTACTCCTGAAGCTTCGACGGGGCCCTATTTATTACAGTCCCCTGAGAGAAGGTGCTTGGAAAGATTGGGAGCTTCTCTGCCTCACCAGTGGTCTGTGAAAACTGAGAAATAACCCATGTTTGCAACGAGTTCTCCTGGGAGCTGGTTCTTGTTGGAGTCCCAGTTGTTTTCAGTGGAGTCAGGAGTCAGCAGGAAGGTGGGGAGAGGAGAGGAGCTCGCCTATCCCAACCAGGTGAAGACCCTGCCAACGAGATTACTCCTGTCCATTCTGTGCTCTCTCAGTGTGCTTGAGGCAAAAAAAAACTATCCCAACCAGGTGAAGACCCTGCCAACGAGATTACCCAAAGCACCTGTGCATTCTGTGCTCTCTCAGTGTGCTTGCAGCAAAAAAGAAGAAGAAGAAGAAGCCGTGTAATTGTGGATGCCACCTGTGCACTAAGGGGGTCCTGTCTTCTAAGGGCCTCTTCCTGGTCAGTGGTATGGCCAGAGGAAGGTCTGAGAGGGCAAAATAGTTTCCCCCAAAGCTACACTGTAGCTGCAGACAGCATGTCTTTGGGCCATTGGCAGCCATGGAAAAGAATCCAGGCTTTCAGAGTAAAAAACTTGGTTCAGATTCTGACTCCATCGTTTCTTAGCTAGTTGACCTGGAAAGAGTCATGGAAATACCCTGACACTCAGGGCCCATCCGGAAAATGGGGATAATAATAGGCAAATGAGGAGCGAGACGGTGTAAGTCCAGGGCCCGACGTGTGCCCAGCACTCGGTGAATGTTAGTTTTCTTCCCTTTCCCCGTCTCTGTGATAAATGCTCTATTAGGCCAGCACGCCCAACAAAGCCTTATCTGAAAATATGTTCGAGATCCGTGCTCCTGCCGGGTTTCAGGGATCGGCCAGCAATCCATTTCATGGATAACATCATCCTTTACCAGGGAAACATTAAAAATTAACCCAGAGGACTTCATATTTTTCTGCTGGGAGCGAAGCTGCTATGGTTACCAGATAAAGCACAGACTGAGCTGGAATACAGATAAGGACCTTTTCTTTTTCTTTTTTTGTAAGAAAGGCGAAGGCCCCAGTGATGGCTCACCGGAGAACTGCCCTGTGGACGAAGAGAATACGATCAGCCTCAGAGCCGGCTTGGCAGAAGGCCTGTGACTCCAGGCAGCGTCTAACCTACTAAGTGGAGGCCAGGAGCATGTTTGATCCTTGCTTGGATGAGGCAGGCAGGGAGAGGCAGCCATGACAAGTGGAAGACAAATCTAGGAGAAATTGGAAGTGCAAGTGCACCCCCAGGCTCCACATTTTAACACACACACACACACACACAAACATATATACATATGTACATATGCACACACCTTGACTTTGGAATGCTCTAAGCCCGTGGTCGGCCAAACCGAGGCTCGCAAGCCACATGCGGCTCTTTGGCCCCTTGAGTGTGGCTCTTCCACAAAATACCACGTGCGGGCGCGCACGTACAGTGCGATTGAAACTTCGTGGCCCATGCGCAGAAGTCGGTATTTTGTGGAAGA